ACTCTGGGAAGAAATTTGGAGGCATCTTAAAAATCTAAACATAGATCTGCCATATGATCCAGCAATCCCACTCCTGGGGATATAACCAAGGGAATGCAACACAGGTTATTCCAAAGGCACCTGCACATCCATGTTTATTGCAGCACTAGTCACAATAGCCAAGTTATGGAAACAACCAAGATGCCCCACTACTGACAAATGGATCAAGAAAATGTGGTATTTATACAAAATGGAATTTTACTCAACCATGAATAAGAATGAAATTCTATCATTCGCAAGTAAATGGATGGAACTATAGAACATCATTCTGAGCGAGGTTAACCAGGCTCAGAAGACCAAAAATCGTATGTTCTCCCTCATATGTTGACTTTAGATTTAGGGCAAATACAGCAATGTTTTTGGACTTGGGCCACATGACAAGGGGAGAGCACATACAGGAGGAATGGGGATAGGTAGGAAACCCAAAACATGAAAGCATTTGATGTCCCCACTCCAGAGGAACTAATACAGAAACCTTAAAGCAACAGAGGTCAACATGAGAAGGGGATCAGGAACCAGTGTAAAGATCAGTTAGAAATGAATCAACTTGGGTTGTAACACATTGATACATGGAAGCAATGCTAGAAATCTCCCTGTATAGCTATCCTTAGCTCATCTAGCAAAAACACTTTGTCTTTCTTATTATGCTTATGTCTTCTCTTCAACAAAATTAGAGATAAGGGCAGAACAGGTTCTGCTTGGAAGTGAGGGGGATGGGAGGGAGTAGTTGGGGGTGGGGAGCAGGGGGGAGAAATGACCCAAACAATGTACGCACATGTGAATAAATGAATAAAATAAATAAATAAAATAAAATTCTGAATTACACGTTAAAAAAATAAATGCAATACAGCGTACAAACAGAAGCAAAGACAAAAATCACAGGATCATCTTAATAGCCTTGACTAAATTCAATATCCTTCTTGATAAAAGCTCTGATGAAACTAGGAACAGAATGAACTTATAAAGAATATATATGACAAGTCCATAGCCAATATCATACTAAATGAGGAAAAACTGGGACCGTTTGCTTCAAAGCCAGGAATAAGACAAGTGTCCTCACTCTCCCCACTCTGATTCAGCACAATTTTGGAATTTCTAGCCAGACCAATAAAACAGGAAGAAGACATAAAAGGGATTCAAATAGGGAAGAAGTAAAATTATGCCTATTTGCAGATGACATGATCTTTTACTTAAAGGACCCTAAGAACTGCACCAAAAACACCTAGATCTGATAAACATTTTTGTTAATGTAGTAGGTTATAAAATCAACATGAAAATCAGTAGATTTTCTACATACCAACAATGAATAGGTTAAGAAAGGAATTGTGGAAACACTTCCATTCACAGTAGCCTCAAAATATAAATAAATTAACTAGGAATAAATTTAACAAAGGACATGAAAGACCACTATAATGAAAACTATAAATCACTGAAGAAAGAAACTGAAGAAGACATCAGAAGATGGAAAGACTCTCCATGCTAATGGATCAGCAGAATCAAAATTGTGAAATGGCTACACAAGCAACAACAATCTATAAATTCAATGCAATTCACATCAAAATCCCAATGACATTCCACATGGACATTGAAAAACCAACCCTAATGTTCATTTGGAAGCACAAGAGAGTGTGAATAGCCAAGGTGATTCTGAGCAAAAAACAGCAACAGTGGAGGTATCTCAATACCCGACTTCAACCTATACTACAGAGCCATAGCAGTGAAAACAACGTAGTATTTGCACAAAAACATACATAAAGATCAATGGAACAGAACAAAACCCAGCAACAGCCACCTGATTTTTCACAAAGGCACCCAAAACATATGATGAAGAAAAGACAGCCTCTTTAACAAATGTTTCTGGAAAAACTTGGATAATTGTATGCAGAAAACTGAAACTAGATCTACGTCTCTCACTCTGTACAAATAGCAATTCACAGTAGATCAAAGATCATAATATAAGGCCTGAAGCTTTCAAACTACAACAGGAAAGAATAGGGAATATGCTGGAGCATATAGACATTGTGGCCAACTATTAATTTTTTCAAAACATCTTATGCAATCCTCCTCTTTTTTGTCTTTAAAAACTTCCCATTGTGGGGGAAGGGAAAGGGAAACATTGATCAGTGGGTACAAGTTACAGTTAGATAAGAGAAGTTCTGTGTACTACTGCACAGTGGGATGATTATAGATGAATAAAATATTTTGCATTTTCAAAAGCTAAAAGAAAAGATTTTTAAGTTTTCACCCTAAGCTAATGTTGAATGTTTGAGGAGATTGATACATTTAACCTGATTTATACATGACATGATGCATGTCATGTATATGTGAGTATGACATGAAGATCAGAAAGGGATGCTAACAGCAGAATAGTGTTTCAAAGAAATGAGAGACAAAGGGCTAAAACAACCAATATTAAGGGTAATCAGAGAATATTTGTGTCAGGCCACAGCTGCAATTTCTGTTTCCCTCACCCTGCTAAATACAGGAGGAGAAGAGGAAAGGTTGGTACAGCTGGCAGACACCCAGTCACTGCTTTTGCAGGGATTCATAACCTGGAGTTCAGCTGTTAAATATTGTTCTCTCCTGCTCCATGGGTAGGAGATTGGTTCCCCCAGCATTCAGAAATACAGTGGAGGGAAGCAGAAGGTCACTCTGCTGATGTCCTTGTCTAGATCCAAGAGGCACTGAAAGAAAACCACTGGCCCTCTCTCAGTGTTCATCCTGGGAAACACCACAGTCACTGGATGCTGGTTGTGTGGATCCTGGTTTCTCCTTTGCTGTTTCAATTATGGAAAGAAAGAATTGTCATTCAAAATATCATATTTTTCCCTTAAATTGAACTAAGAAGATTTGGAGTGGGTACTTTCTAACTGTGAAATCTGGTATTGCGTCACAAATTCAAAAGTTTAAGTTAAATTGAGCCAGCCCTTATGCTATGTACAAATGTGAAAAGAGAAAGCTTGTAGAGAGTCATGTGAAAACAAGGCACTTATACTTGCCTCACCACACTCACCATGCTGAGGTTGGCTCTGGGGGCCCCACCCACCAACTGTTGCTAAAGGATGTAGGATATTCCCCATCAGTGACTTTGCAGGTCAATGGAACTGGTTTCCAGGGGACCCAGAATGCCCACAAGTGTGGGGTGGTAACCTGTGGTTCAACCAACGGTTTGTCACAAGGCTAAGATTACCAGATTTAAAGGCCAAGTGAATAGGGAAACTGTTGGCTCACTCTCTGAGTAGAAATGGCAGAGGAATTTCAGAAAGGGCTGAAGGAGACCAGTGACTGTCTTCCCCCAACAACTCATCTCACATATTCCCTATTCCTGCCCATTAAGAAATAGTGCAGAAATCTCAACTGTCAATTCAGCAAGGAAGGAGTGCTGTTTCCATTTCAGTTCTCTTCATCTCAACTTGTCCTAATTGGATGGCTGTAATACCCTGTTAGATTTTCAGCTTCTAAGAAGAACAGTGGATTTTCCAAGGAACCAGCAACAGGAGGCAGCTCAAGGAGTGAAAGAAGGCATCTGAGAACTTTCCCCTACCTGCAGTGCCAGGTGAGTCAGCTCCTAAACTTGGTCTTCCAAGCCCCTTTCCTTCAGCCACCAACATCAGTATGTTGCTCACTGCACACTCCACTATGAGGGTACAGACTCACACTGGCCAGTGGGCAAAAACCATAGAGTTCACTGTTAGTGGTGGGATGGCATCTGGTCCTCCTAACACTTCACTATGGACAGGTTCATAATCTACTTTGCAGAGGTGATTGCAAGGGGACCCTAGAATGTGCTGCTGCTCCTCTTTGAGCTTCCACCAAGAGGTGCGGCAGAGTCCTGCATGAAAGCTGATGAGTTTGTCCAAACATGCTCCGTGGCAGAATGGGGAGGAAGCCCTTTCTGAGACTGAAGAGCCAAACCCCAGCACCCCTGCAAGGTTCTCCTGTGGGGTAGAATCTTCCAGCCTCCCTCCTCCTGTTCTCAGTGTTTTCTTGACTATCGCGATCAAAGTCAATGACAATGTTCAACTTCCCCCATTCTCATGGAACAATTCTCAGGCTACTGTAAATGTAAATTCAGACCCAATATCCCTCCCTCATTACCTGCTCATTTCCGTCTAAGAATTACCATTATCACACACATTCATATTCATATATTTCACATATTTGCCTTATTACCTTTTCCCCCACTTGAATTTATATCCTCCTTAAAAATGGAAACATAGAATAGTTTCCAGTACAAAAGCAATGCTGGGACTATTTCTGTATAGCTATCCTTAACTCAACTAGCAAAAATGCTCTGTCTTCCTTATTATGCTTGTGTCTTTTCTTCAACAAAATTAGTGATAAAGGCAGAACAGGACCTGCCTGGCACTGAGGGGGGGAGGGGGAGAGAGGGTAGGGGAGCGGGCAGGGGGGAGAAATGACCCAAACAACATATGCACATGTGAATAAATGAATAATTTTTAAAAAATAAAGTGACAGTTCCTTGCAGAGTGCAAATTAAAAAAAAAGAATAGTGTCTAGTATATAGCAGATAATAAAGACTCAATGAATTAATGAAACATCAAATTGTTTTGGAATGTCTGGAACTTTTTCCAAATCACTTTTCAACTTTTTCATGTTGCATTCTGTGTCCACTTATCCCAAAATGTCACTGGTGTCATGACTCTGTCATGAGTACCTTGGTTTTCTCATTGCATTCTTTAAAAGCCCAGCAAGCTTTTAAAGAGCCATTCTTGTCAAGGAGTCATAAGTCAGTGTGCATAAGGTATCTCTGACAGGCTCTGACATGCTAGACTGTTTTCCTTTGGAAGCATACAAAATGTAGAAAGTTGGTGTCCTTACTTCCCAAGCAGAAAATTGATATGCACGTGCCTTGAATAACCAGGAGAAATGACATCAAGATTATGCATTCCAGTAAGTGGCTTTTCTAAGTTTCAGGAACCATGCCATCTATATTTACCATGAGGGCCCCCATCTGTCTAGTGGAAAACACGAGGGAGCAGCTGATGGTGAATTCAGAAGCCTTAAGGATTCTTGAAAAGATATCTCAACCTTTGGTAGTGGTGGCCATTGTTGGGCTGTGTCGTACTGGAAAATCCTACATCATGGATCGTCTTGCTGGACAGAACAGTGGTGAGTGTGATCCTGAAACAGGGGCCATTTGCTTGGAAAAATGATAAAACAAGCTGATCACACCTTCTCTAGGGCCATTTTTATGGGAGACTAATCCCTCTCACTGAAGAATATTTCTCATTTATCATCACATTTATAACCTCAAACCTATCCATAGACTCTCCCCCTTTAACCCATTAACAAAGAGCTCCCCAACCCTATCAAAAGATCCGACCCACTGTTCTTCCTGATTCCATCCACCCCTCACCTGTTCACGAGCTGAGATCCAGCAGGTTCTCCCTTCAGTTCTCCTGCATCATTCCCCCAAGCTACACACTTATCCCAAGGAATCCACAAATACAGTGTAATGTGTTCTTTGAAAAGGAGGGTGGACAAATAATCAGTAGGATACCTGTATATCTTCTAGTATTCAAATTGGGCTATCTTCTAGGTCTTCTTTCTTTCTTTCTCCCTTTCCTTCTTTCTTTCTTTCCTTTTTTCACTACTTCATAGAAAATATTTAGCAAATTATCACCACTGGAGCACATAGTGTAGTTATTATATGTATGCTGGAGTTCAGAAATATGAAGCAGACACCTGTTTAATCCCTAACTAGGTCAAGAAGTATATCTTAGCAACTCTGCAAAGTCCAGGTCACAGCCTCTCACACTTTCCCTAAAACTCACCAATATTTTGATTTTTCAGGGCACAATTCTTCCACTGTTGCATTAAAAAAATGGTTCTATAGTATATTATGCATTCTAGAAAACAACTTAGCTTGGTAATTAAATTTTATAGAAAGCAAATTATAGTTTATGTGTTATTAGTGCCTTGCTTCTTTTGCTCCAAAAGAAGTTATAAGCTTCCTCTAGTCACCACATGTACTATTGTTTATTCATTTTCACTACTTTATACTATGCTGTTGTCTCAGGATACCACAAATTATTTATCCACTTATTGATGATGAATATTGGTGTTATTTCCATTTTTATCTTTAATTAATAATGTTGCCAAGAGTATTGTTTATTCATATGCAAACTTCCCTTGTGCCACATACCCAGAAATGGAATTTCTGGACCATAGGTGTATGACTTTCATCTTTCTAACTAATACTAAAATGATTTAATGTACATTTGAAATTTTACATACAATTTACATATATGTCATCAGTAATTGATGGTTCTATACATCCTACAAAAATTTAGTAACATAAGAAAAGTGCTTAACTTTCTGATCTGTGGATCTGACTAGTTGCATGATATTATCTCACTATAAATAAGCATAAACACCTTTGATATTTGTATTCCCTGTTTTATAAAATTTGTGTTTTTCCCATCAAGTTGTCTCTTTTGCTTGCACTGACTGTTAGGACAATGTTACCGTGATACTATTTGGTGTTTCTATCTTTAAAGATCCTACAGGTCATTTTCCTCTTCCTCTCCAGCTAACAGGCCCAGTGCCATTATTGACACTCAGTCTACTAAACTCTGAAGAGCCTCCACCCACTGGCCTCTCTCTCTCTCCTCCTCAGTTGTTCTCTCTGCTCTCCAACCTTCTGTGCCTCCAGTTATCTTTCTACCTCCTTCGCTTTACTTTGATTTCCTCTTGCCTCTTTTAGCTTTCTATTTTCCAGCACCTCATACACAAGCATCTGCCTTTATCTTTCTTTTTGGGACATTCTTGAACATTACTCAGGGGAAGACCCTTTTCCTTGTCTAGATCAAATAAATTCCTGTCATTTTTAAGGATCTGGGGAGTCCTTAAGAAGCAGATATTAAAGGACGTGTTAATAGTATTGTTTTTACTTTCTGCTCAAGATGATGTCAAATAACAATGATGCAACTTCCCAGTGCTTTCTTAAGAGAGTCTATGGTCTTAAAGTGCTTTAAACATCTGAACTGTGACTCTTGCCCTTCCCATGACATAGGAAGAATAGAAATAAAAGACTTACTTGCAATCAAGCTCCATGAGCAGGACCAGGTCACTGCTTCTCTCTCTTGTGGGTGACTTGCTTTGTTTTGTTGATACTTCACGTAACTAAGTATAATGATCTCTCATCACTCCTCATGGTTTCTACAACTGGCATCACTGGGAATGGGCTGTCCCTATATTAACCAGCAAGTAATGAGATCCTACTACAGTGTAGAAAAGTGGAAACTGTATGCCCTCTTTGTGTACCTCACACAGGGAGCCCTAGTTGTGCTGCACCACGATCCTGTAGGAACATTATGACATCTATTTTTACTCCCACTTAAGGAAGGAAGTATTCTTATATGCCACGTGAGAAAAATCTTGAACTATTGGGTAGGATACATTATCTGGTGGTTCCAAGGGTTGGTCCTCAAATCCTCTGTACTATGGGTTTAAGCCTTTGAAAAGAAATGCCAATAGGAGTCTTTCCTGCTTTCTCTTCAGTTATATCCCCATGATGAGGCAATGAACACTGAGCTCATTATTTGCTTGAAACTGAGTAAGAAAAGGAATAAAATAAAGGAGGAAAGGGGGGTGAGAAACCAACAAGCCCCAATGTAGCCTTATAGGTCCTGGCAGGATGCCGATGACCTACTATATCAGCTTTCCATCAGTATTACAAATATCTGAGATAAGTCAGGCATAAAGACAAAAGGGTTACTTTGGCTCACAGTTTTGGATGTTTCAATCCATTATTGATTGACCCCAATGCCTTTTGGTCTGTGGTGAGGCAGCATACATAGAACAGAGTACATGAGAGAACCATACTACTCACTGCCTGGTGAGTCACTAAGACAAAATAAAAGAGGAAAAGACCCAGATCCTACAATCTCCTGCAAGGGCATGCCCCTAATAACCTGAAGACTTCCCACACGGCCCACTTTTTAAAGTTTCTATCCCCTCTCAAAAGCACCACACTGTGTACCAAGGCATTGACAGATGGGCCCTTAGGGAATATTCTAGATCCAAACTACGGCATCCACTATCAGGTAATTAAAAAACATTTAATATCCCCTGTACAAAGGCATAACAATTATGAAGGGATCCAATAAACAGTGAGAAAGTACTTGGTGAGTTGCAAAAGAAGCACACAGTACACATAAGTACCTCCATACCCAGAAGAGACAAGCAAGAGTGGATGCCATGATGTGGCCAAGAGCAGAAATGTTGGATGGAGCTACATGAAAAGAACCTGATTTGAGATAGAAAAAGGCCCTTGGGATGCTGTGGCAGGCTAGGTTGAAAGATAAGAGACACATGCCTGCTGTGGGGTCAGGTTCTGTTGCTTCCCACTGATTGAATTCTAATAGAAGATATAGGACATGAGAGCTCTTCACAGTCATGTAAAATTACATATGTTAACAAAGTTTACACTAGTTCTGTAACTTAACATTCTTTGAGCATTTGGAAGTATGAGTTGAACAGAGGGGATAAAATATTTCTTGAGAAAGTTTTTAATAAACACTGAATTAGTTACTCATGTTAATACATTAGCACACACTTTCCTTGCCATTTGCTAAATACTCCTACCACATTACCCAATGAACGCATGGTCTCTGCTATGACAGTTTGTTGTTTCTCCTCTTCCCTTGCAGGCTTCCCCCTTGGATCCACTGTGAGGTCTCAAACCAAGGGCATCTGGATGTGGTGCCTGCCCCACCCCACCAAGCCAAACCACACACTGGTCCTTCTTGATACTGAGGGCCTGGGTGATGTGGAAAAGGTGAGGCAGAAGATTTTCTCTGCTCTTGATCATACATTTACTGTCAAATTTGTCTCCTCAATTCAATTTCTATGACACATTCCTGTAAAATGAAAATCTAATCATGAATCATGAGTCTAAACTCTGTATCTTCAAACTTCCATCTCCTGATATGTTAGGGTTAGATCTTCTTTATGTTGTAATTTCACAAATATGTATTAACAGCTGTGGGCATAACAGTAAACAAGATAAAGACCAGGAGCCTGGCTGTGAAGACAAGATATGTGGGGTGTGATCAGTCCAAGGTAACACAGATGCAGAAAGATGCTGATCCGGTCATTAGATTAGATCCATGGAGAAAGCTGTAATCAATGAGTGTATGGGTCTGATGGGTTGCAGGTAGGAACCATGAAAATGGGGTTCAATGAAGGACTCTGCTTAAATAAAATTCAGTTTCATCTTTAAGGTTTTGATCTAAGTCTCTGAACTCTGGCAATGAATCCTGTACTGACTAAAAGCATGAATAACACTCACTCCAAATAGTGAAAATTGATAATTTATGGTATGTCTTTATAGTATTAGTTGCAATCAATCTTTTCTCCTAATTGTATTTGTCTGAGTCTAAATTGAAAGTAGATTTTTGGCTTCCATTACTGCAAAAGGTAGGGAGGAGAGGAAGGCACAGACTTAGAAATTCTGAATTTGAAAATCAGTGTTAAAATTGTCAATTATCATCTAAATATACACCCAAAACAGACTGCTGGTTTATAATAGACTTGCATTGTCAATAGACAAAAATAAAACAAAATATAAACTGATGGTGGCAGAATTCATGGAAGATTTCACAATTTACAAAGCAGCGTGGGGAAATTTGCATCTATTTGAAAGCTGTCCGTAAATATTATTCCCAGACTCCTTTTCCATTCTTACATGCATGGTCTTTGGTTCAGTCCAGTAAAATAACTCTGCAATACCTGAATATTTTGGGCTGTAACAATTCTTCCTTGGCCTATCCTACATTCAACTCCACAAGTCTGTGTTCTATCAACTCTAAGCTCATCTATTTTCAACTTACTCCTGGAAGAAGTTCTTGTGCTAAATTTCCAGAGTAATTTTTCCTATTTATGAGCCTTTCCTCTTTACTTTTTTTTGTTTTACATTCTTACATCCACTTCAGGCAAAAAAATTTTGGTTAAAATTAAAATGTGACATGTTTATTTGCCACTGCCAAAAGTCCCCTTGCTAAGGGACAAGACTGTTACATGGAAATTTATATCCAGAAAACCAAACATAGGTCTGGATTTTGTCAGAGACCCAATGTGGAGTTGTTGAACTTAATTGAACAGCATTTGTGTCCTTACTACTGCCATGATCAAGATGAAGTTCTGGATAAAATAATTTCCCACTTATTAATGGATACCTACCATGTGGTAGACAATTAACAAAATATTTTACACACATGGAGAACTTCATTTGTCTCGATAGCTAACTTGCTAATCTCTGATAAGGACTCAATATTAAATCAATAATGAGATTTGCATTTAGCATTATCTTCGAGATGTGTTATTTCCCTTGGATTCAGCACTAGAACAGCAGAAAGAATGAATGCACAAGCAAATGAGTGAATGAAGAGGGACCCCTAAGTCCCTCGCTCTCATGTGCTGTCTAGGGTGAAGCTAAGAATGACTTGTGGATCTTTTCCCTGGCCGTGCTTCTGAGCAGCACCTTTGTGTACAACAGCATGGGCACCATCAACCACCAGGCCATGGAGCAGCTGCAGTATCCTTCCAGGAACAGAACCTCCATGATTCATTGAGTTTAGGAGAATGATAACTGAGACTATTTCTTCTTTGCTCTAACTGAATTATCTTGGTCAAGTAAGAGTGGACACAGGAGAAAAAGGAATGTTTACAAAACTTGTTTCTAAGTGAGATCTGGATGATTTGTTGTCTCATATTCCTTAGCTGTGATCCCAGTTAGTGACTGAATTAACACAGCTAATAAGGGCAAAATGCAGCCCCAAACCAGATGAAGTAGAGGACTCTGCAGTGTTTGTGTGTTTCTTTCCAGACTTTGTCTGGGCTGTTCGGGATTTCACTCTGGAGCTGAAGTTAGATGGGCACAACATCACGGAAGATGAGTACTTGGATAATGCCTTGAAGTTGATTCCAGGTATCAGAGCCTGCCTGGGTGGGGAAAGGTTCAAACAGGGAACTGTGATCAACTCAACCCTGTTCAGCCTTTGACATACATGTTTATCTGAGATTGGATTAGGCTCTTGTTAATGGTGAATGATGATTGACAGGTGGTCATGACTTCAGCAATTTTTGTTGAAAATCTTTGGAGGTTAAGATTTAACTCCCTGAGTAAATTTAGGAGAAATGTTCTATCAAGTGATTTTAGACCCATTAATATCATGAAAAAATTGTGGATTAGAATCAATGCTACTACTTCTAAAGGTTCAAATATTTGTTAGTTAACTGCTCCTTATATTCTATTTTGAGATAAATAGCTCAAGTTAGAATTGAATAAATTCCAAATCACAGGAATGTCTGATGAGCTAATTTTAAAACATATTTCACTGCTTATGTTTATTAACCTATATAGATAAACCCTTCAGAGAAAGGATATTAGTTAAATTACATTTTTTCCTGGAGAAAAGCTGATATATGGCCCCCCAAAATGCTGTTAAATTCTTCCTTTCACCATTTTAATAATATCACAGCCTTATGCAATATGTCATCACATTAATGTTAAAATTTTACTACATGAATTCTATTTAGTAGAATAGATAAACAGTGGTACCTAGTGTTGATATCCATTGTTATTCATTTATTTATTCATTCATTAAACAAATATTTATTTTTAATAGCTGATTTATGACACAGAATCTCTGTAAGGCAATGTCAACTTCAATATAATCTAGCCTCAGGAAATCAAGAGGTTTTCAAATCACATGCAGATTAACTTTACTTTGGAGTTTGTGCTAAAAAAATCAGTAACCATATTTACATCGTGTGTAGTTTTGGCTCTGATTTTGAAACTTTTTTTACTGACTTGAGAATCATCTCCCTTCATGACATTTTCCCTAGCAACATCTTATCCCTACTTTCAACATTATTTTACTTTAGAGCCTATGCCTCATTTCTGACATGGAAGTACAGTATCAGAAACATCTTTTTGACAACTTTTTAAAAATTAATCAATTATTCCAAACCTTTAAAGCATAGTTTATCTATATCCACAATATAAGGACTACAGAAGCCAGTCATAGGTTTCTCCCTTGAGATGACTGACTCCCCTGCTGGGTAGATTACTATGAGCTCTCTGTGTAATTGAATGAAACACAGGATTTATAGTTACACAAAGGTAGTTAGAAAAGTTTTCAATCACATTGTCTGCAGGATGTCTGTTCAGTATGAACTCTTTTTGCAGGAAGGAATCCCTGAATTCAAAATTCCAACAAATCTAGAGAATGTATCAGATATTTCTTTCCAGTCTGGAAAAAATGCTTTGTCTTTGACTGGCCTACAAGTGACAAAAAATTGTTATGCCATACGGAAAATGTTACAGAAAATCAACTGGAATGGAATTTCCAGGTGCAAACAAAAAATTTCTGTACCTATATCTTCACCATGGGAAAGACCAAGACACTGAGAGAGGGGATCGTTGTCACTGGAAATCGTGAGTTACTTTTGTCTCAATGCCTGTTCTTGAGGTTTAGCATGTTTGATAAAGCTATTATTCTTTTGAGGGTTTGTCAATATTTTTGTTTGCTTCTGTAAAGGAACGTGGAAAAGCAAGTGATCACGCATGTTTCTTAATTACACATTTATATATGAGAGTTTATTGAGGTCTAAAAAATGCCATAAAACTAATACACTAAGGATACAAGTACAAACTGCCACTAGGGAGAGAATCCTGAAAGATGAAGAGAAATCCCATGGGATAATGAGAATATATAAGATCTTTTTGAATTGACACCAGTCAAAAAATAAACAACAGGCCATAAATTCCTTGCAGTTTGTTTCAGAAACAAATTTAAATAGGGCTGACTTCATGATATGTGGCTTGTGCAATCATGAAGTCTCCAACCTGAGATGGACTCATACTTGGTTCAGTACTCTATGTTGCTATCATTGATTTCTGATCATATTTTTCGAAGGAGACTAGCATTTAAATTTGAAATTAAAACTCACAAATTGTGTAATTTACTGTACTTGTATAAGAAATCTTTTTTTGTTAATTTAAATTGGGAAAGTAGTATTTCAAGGAAGGATTAAAACCTCTTGGTTGTAATTTAGTAATGTGCTAAATATGAGAAACACAAAAGAAGGAGCATATATGAAGAACAGTGATGTATTAAGCAGAAATGGATTATAGATCACATGGAAAGAGCAGGAATTAGGAAAAGAGAAGAAAAAGAAAGAAAGGTAGGAGGAGAAGGAAAATTTAAGATAAACAGATTTTTGAGAGTTTTATAGGCCAGTTCTTAAAGTTTATAAAAACGTTAATGAGAAGTTTCCATTTATTCCCTTACTATATGTCATCCAGGGCTGGGGACACTGGTGAAGACCTACGTGGATGCCATCAACAGTGGAACAGTACCTTGCATGGAGAATGCAGTGACCACCCTGGCCCACCGAGAGAACACAGCCGCTGTGCAGAAGGCAGCCGACCACTACGGTGAGCAGATGGTGCAGAGATTGGGGCTCCCCACAGACACTCTCCAGGAGCTGCTGGACGTGCACACAGCCTGCGAGAGGGAAGCCATTGCGGCCTTCATGGAGCTCTCCTTCAAAGATGAAAATCAGGAGTTCCAGAAGAGACTGCTGGTAATACACTTTAGCATTTACTCCTCCTGAACCCTTCCCTTTTGGAGTAAGGTTTAGCCTCCATCTTTTTTATCCCAGTTCATGTTCTTCTCATCATAGAAAGAACGTAGATTTTTCTGGGTAACAGAGCTCTTCAGGCTACAGTGCCCTTTCTCTAAAAGGCATTATTTTCCATTACACAAAACAAATTATCATGTGGTCAGCAGTTTCAAACAGCATCATTTTATCAGCTCAGAGATCTTTAAGTCAGATGCAAGCACAGCTATCTGGGTGCTCTGCTCAGTGCACTGGATGCTGAAAACATGGAGCCGAATGGGCTTATTTCTCATGCAGTCAATCTGGGGACACGCTCTCCACATTCAAGCAAGCAAGGACACATCAAATCCTTCTCTTGTTTCTAGTCTTTCTGATTTCCTTTCCTGCCACAGCCAGATAAAACTGACATTTTAAAGGGCTCACGTGACTAGGTAATGCCCAATAGGGTACTCTCCATTTCTTAAACTCAACCTGTGCTATTTAACATAATATAATCACAGGATTAACAAGCATCTGATTCACAGGCCCTAGGATGATAAAGGGTGTGGACACAAAGAGAGAGAACTCTCAGGGACATTTTAATTCAACTCTCCAAAGGCACCCTCACTGAAAGCTTGTCTTTCAGTCTGTCTGGGTCTGCCCTAAAAGTAACAAATCTGCTAGTTCATCCTGAGGGAATCCAGCTGAATTGTAATTTATAAGTACAAATAAACAAAAAGTATCGCCTTCAGTATCTTCACACCTTAAACAATCACTGAAAGAATTCTTGAAAGGTTCAAATCTGTTCAGGACACACTTAAATCATCTCTAGGGGATTGGTTTCCCAAGTGTGTATTTTCAACTATAACAACCCACAATCTCTGAGGATATTTTACTTCCAGCCAAAAATTAATGTTTTCCTGTTCGTTGTTAGAGTTTGTATATCTGTTAATCATCCTGCACCTAAATAGATCATCTATCTTCTAACTCCATCATTTTACAGGTATTTTACCTGAAACCATGGGAGATAATAGGGTCTCCAGAGGTCACTCAGAATTGAGCAGAATGGGACTAATCAAGTCCCCTGGCTCCTTCCCTGTCCCAGTTCACTGTGTGGCTGTCACACTGCTTCTTCCAAGAGGATCACAAAAGGACCTTCCTCTAACAGTTTCTTTGTATTGTCTTTCCCTTACATTAAATTTTCAGGGCACCATAGAGAGAAAGAAGGAAGATTTTGTCCTGAAGAATGAAGAGGCATCCATCAAATATTGCCAGGATGAGCTGAAGAAGCTTTCAGAGCCCTTGATAGAAGGCATTTCCAGAGGAGCATTCTCTGTTCCTGGAGGGCATAGTCTCTACTTAGAAGCCAAGAGGAAGGTGGAGCAGGACTACCAGCTAGTGCCCAGGAAAGGAGTGAAGGTGAGGAATGGGGAAGAAGGAGTACAATTCAAAGAGCATAGTGAGAGAGTCTTTGCTGCTCCTTCAGAAAATTTAAAATCATAGCAGCACTTGTGAAATGAAAGCATAGTATGGAGATACATTGGTATTTTTCATTTTTTTTTCTACTGGTAGTTGGATGCTGTTAAATTAATAAGAAATAATTTTTCCCAAGGAGGATTTAGAGCCAAGAATCCAGGTGAAACAAACCATTTTCTTCTTTATCAAAGAAGGAGGAAAATTTAGGGAGGGGGTATAGCTCAGTGGCAGAATACTTGTGTGGCATGAGTCCCATCTGCAGGACTGGGTTCTATCTCAAGCACCATGAGAAATTTTCTTTTTTAAAAAAAGAATAGTTTTTCCGCTAAACAAAGTAAATAAATAGAATACGAAGAAAAGATGTTACTTCAGGTGGACAAAACAACAGCACCTTGACTTTGGTAATGATGGTTATTATAAGACAACTATAACTGGTATGAATAAACAATGAGGATGATAATGACCATAGTGGTTAGCAGACCTTGTGCATTCAATTTCCCGTACTAGGAATAGTTTCAGGTGATTTTGTTAGATTGCCAATTTAATTCTCAGAGTGTATGTTAGCTATTACCCTCTTTTACATTTATGCATTAGAAATATATAATATGTAAATGACTTTTAAGTTGTCTAAGAGACACAGTCAGAAAATGCCAAAGCTAATAGGGCAGTCATTAGAAACTCAGAATTTTTTTCTTTTGAGGAATTTTCATGTATTCTGTAATGGCTGCACAAATTTACATTCCACCCAGAAAGAATAAAGGTTTCCCTTTTTCACATCCTCAGCAATATTTATTATATTTTGACTTTTTGATAATAACCATCCTAACAGGGATAAAGTATTATCACACTGTGATTTTAATTCATAGTTCAGAAATGATTAGTGATGTTGAACACTTCTACAGATGCCTGTTGAAAAATGTCTATCCAGGTCTATTTTCCATTTATCAGTCATGTTATTTGGGTTTTTTCTATTGAGTTGTATGAGTTCCTTATATACTTTGGATAATAACCCCTTAACAGATATATAGTTTGCAAATATTTTCCTCCATTCTATATATTACCTTTTCATTGTGTTGTTTGGTTCGTTATGCAGAAACTTTTTGGTCTGATGTAGTCTCACCTATTTCCCTGCTTGTGTTTTTGGTGTTCAACCCAAAAATCATTACAAAGTCCAATTTCAATGGACTTTTCCCCAAAAGTTTTTCTAAGAATTGAAAATTTTCAGGTATTATGCTTAACTCTTTAATCCATCTTTAGTTGGTTTTAATGTGAGGTGTAATTCAGGGGTCCAATTTCATTCTGACCTGGCTTTCTGTGCCATTCCACTGGTCCATATATCTATTCTTATGTCATTACCATGATGCTTTTGCTACTAAATAATATAATTATATATGCATGCATATCCACATATATTGCACAGTATCCACATATATGGTATGTTATGTATCTATATAGATATATAGAGATATACATACCATATATGTACACACATCACATATATATCTATGGATTATTATTCGGCTTCAATAAAGTTCTGCCATTTGTGACAATATGGATGAAATTTGAGGACTTTGTCACATTAAATAAGCCAGCTACAAGAGGACAAACACTGTAAGGTGAAATTATAATGGTGAAAGAGAAGGAGAGAGAGAGAGAAAACAAACAAAAAAATACAAGTCAAATTCATATTGACATAGTTATAATGGTGATTACCAGCGCCTGAGAGCAGAGGGAAAGGGAAGATATTAGTTAAAAGATAGAAATATACAGTTATGAAGATGAGTAAGTCCTGAGAACCTATTTATGGTAGGGTAACAATAGTTAAAATAATATATTGTATACCTGAAAATTACTAAGAGAGTAAATCTTAAGTGTTATCACATCAGCAAAATGTAACTATATGAGGTGCTTGATATGCAAATTAAAATTTTTGTAGTACTCATTTACCAATGTAGACATATAACAAAACATCGTGTTGTATACCTTAAACATATAGAATTTTTATTTGTCAATCAACCTCAACAAAGATGGAAAAACTAAGAAGATAGCCTAGGAAAGCTTCCTGGTACAGATGGTAAGAGATACACATTGAAGTTTATATAGATATTATCCCATTAAGGAAGGGTAGAAGACCACCATATGATCCTGCTATATCAGGATCAAAGAAATATAAGTCAGCATGCAATAGAGACACCTATACCCGCATGTTTACAGCAGCACTATTCACAAGAGCCAAGTTACAGAATCAGCCTAGGAGTCCATCAACAGATGAATGGATAAAGAAAACATGATACATGCATACAATGGAATATCATTCAGCCATAAAAAGATGACATATCATTTTCAGACTTTTGGTTGATTGTGGCCATGGAATTCAAGGACCTCTCTGAGATCTGAAGCAGAGTCAGTTTTGAGATTTTATGGAAAACAATTTCTTCATCAGAAGACTAGATCTTCACTGCCTAAATAGTTTTGCTCTTTCTTGATTCCCCAGGCAGGTGAGGTTCTCCAGAGCTTCCTGAAGTCCCAGGATACTATACAGAAATCCATCCTGCAGTCAGACAAAGCCCTCACAGAAGGAGTGAAGGCCATCGCAGGTACAGGGGAGGGCACTGCACTTAGAGAGGTAGATGATTCCTGAAAAGCCCTCTGACTAATATACAGGAAGACGACTCTCTTGAAAGAAAAATTATTTTTCTCCTATGGAACACAGGTTCTCCTGGATTTGGAAACAATAGGGGAGTTGGGGGTCACACAGCCAGCCAGCCAGTACTGGTCCTGCATGGTGGGAATCATGATCCTGCTTCCATGTCCAATGGGAAAATCAAGAGATTCCCTTCTTGGGAAATCAATTTGGTCTTTTAGTTCAGGAGGGTAGAGATCAGGCCTGACTCTTGTTTTCTTTCCTGTCTAAAAACCATTGTGAAACAGCTAAGAGGACCAGGAAAGAGGCAGCTGAGAAGGAACAAGAGCTATTAAGACAAAAACAGAAGGAGCAAGAAGAAATGATGGAGGCTCAAGAGAGAAGCTTCCATGAAAACATGGCTCAACTGCAGCAGAAGTGGGAAATGGAAAGGAAGAATATTCTGAAAGAGCAGGAAAGGATGCTGCAGCACAAGCTGAAGGTGAATCTCAACAGGACCTGGAAGTGCCTGACAAAGAGTGTCCTGGTTCCTTAGGAAGGGGAGATCCAAGGTTTTAGATCAGGAATGATTCCCAGAGAAAATGCAAACCTCAAGTACTCCTGGATCCTACTGAAGCCCTGTTAAGTCTGCAAGATTCCATTACTTGAATAGCATTAGACTTTAGAGGGTTGAACTAATCTCCCCTAAAGTGTTGTGCTGATGTTCGTTGACATTAAAGGATGTTTACTGAGCCTCAATTGAATAGGACCTTAATCTACTAGTCCTTCTGATTCTTGGTGTGACCATCAAAGAGACATGAGGTAGATTCATCTAGTCTGAATGTATCATCTTTGACCTGATAGAAAAGGGAGAATGTTGAAAGCTCAGAAATTGCTCCATTTGTTTCCATATCTGCCTGATTCATCCTGTACAGCTGGAGTCCCCATAGAGCTTGATAACCAGTGTTCTACACAAGGTCAACATTTGCCACAGTCTGTTAGATGATTCTGACTGTGCCACCTGTTGGAGTTGAGAATCAGAGTGCAACCCATATTCTCTCCCAAATGGCATACTTTCTGTTGAAACAAAACTCCTCTCCACCCTGCAGTGAGACAGTGTTGAGGAAATATCATAGATGTGAAAACCTTGCAGAGTACACCCCCACTACTCTAAGGGTCATCCTGGTGACTATAATATCAGAGAACCTTCTAAGATGGAAGGGAATAGACACATGTGCTTCAGTAGAGGTTCTTAGGTGCAAAACTCTGACTGTTAATGATTGAAGAGTTTCAAAAGTTGACTCTCTTTTATAGGTGCAAGAAGAACTGCTTATTGATGGATTTAAACAGAAATCTGAGGAATTAAATAAAGAGATAAATCAACTACAAGAGATTGAAATAAGTAAAAACAAGAGCCCCTCAATATTTTCACAGTTCCTTGATACACTTGGCACTGTATTTATTGCAGTACTACCTGGGGCTGGTAAATTACTTGGTGCAGGATTGAAAATACTCAGTCCACATATATAACAGTGCAAGAATTCCTAGTAAGGAATTTATAAAATGAAGTTTTTTTACTTTAATAGCAGGATACCATGGCTCATTGTTAATGTTTATGCATCTTAGCAGTTTCATTCGTGAAAAGTTTAAATGTAAAAAAAAAACAATTATCAAAGAATATCAGGGCCTGATATCCATAAGGACAAACTTAATTTTGATTGATTTAATTAATTTCAAACATTGGGAGACAAATTAGAAGATATTGAAATTATTTCTAGAAAATGTTTCAGCAAAGCAAAAGGACACATGACAAAATGGAGAAAACATTTGCATTGCATACTTTAGCCATGGAGATAATGTATTATGAGAGCTTGTGAGAAGTGACCAACAAACACATTTTAATATGCAGAAATATAAGAATAAGTGTGTGACATTACTTAAATAAAATCTGTGCAAATTAAAATTGTGTAGTTCTTATTTCATCTCTATTATGGGCAAGGAAGAGTGATTTTGACAAGACTTTAGAATGCCAAGAGTTTGATGAAATTCACAGTCTTTCCTCTCTACTAGTGAGAGTGTAAACTGTTGCAACTGTACATCAAAAATTAACATGCATGGTTCTACGTGAGCACAAATTCATCCTGACCTTCATCCCACAAAGAGATAAAGAAAAAGAGTCATGGATAACAGCATACCAGTCTCCTGTGTTGCCCCAGTGTGGACAGTGCTCTTGGGTTACACAGGAGCCAAAGGTGGCTGTGATAGCCCACTGTCAGTTGCAATGCCTCTTGGGCCATTGTTACACAACACACAGACTATTAAATTGCAACGGAGTGGTACATGATACTCCATGTCTGTCCCATGTACCCTGTCTGTGTCAACAGGGTGCCGACCTTTTCTATGCATTGTAGAATGTACTGCTTTTGTTGAATAACCTGTTGGACCTTGAGTAACTTTAGTGGTGGGCAGGAGTAGACACACTACCCTTCATTCCTCTGTGGGAGGCAACATTTCCTATGGGCCAGTAGGTCTGACCTATGTAAACAGAGACGAGACATGGATATCAGGGTGAACTCAGTAGTGAGAAACATCATCATTGCTCACTGAAAAAGCCTAAGACCACATTCATATACACATGTGAATCAATCTGATGTGGGTTGCTGCATTCCCTCTACAAAGTCCCAATGCCATCACCTTGCCCCTTCCCTGTAGGTCTTAGAATTATTATCACTTGGGAAACAGTATCCAAAAGCTCCACAAACATCTGGATTTCCACTCTCCTCTTTTCCCCTTTTAACCTAACAGGAGAATAGGGCCACCATTTTAGAAGAAGATGAAGGCCTTGACTCCATCTCTAATGGTTACATTTGAAGGAAATCATGACAGATGTGAGAGGATTTTTTCATCCTGTTTGGCTCATTGTAGTTACAATTGTCTTCTGCATCACCCTGGCAAGCCAAAGAAAGCCTGGGAGACTTCTGTATACCTTCTCCATACTGTGCTCAGTACTGCTGGCATTCAGGATTCCAGATCTTCCCAGTCCTGAAAACACTTCTGCTCTTGAGTTTTTATGGTGCTAATCAGAAATTTGACTTCTAGTATATAAGCGCCCCTTCTGCCTTATACCAGAAATCTGTGGGAATCCCATGGTTTTTGTTTGTTTGCTTGCTTATTTTTTTGTCTATCAATTGTTTCAACAACCAAGGCCACAGAGTTCTGCAGATCTACCCTGATCTTCCTCTGATCCTCCCTTTGTTCACTCCTTTTGTTTACTTCTCTACTTCACTTTCTGGTCCTTTAGGTACAATTTCTCATTATGGGGTCAGTCTAGGAAAACTCTCAGAAGAGACCATAGATAAAACTTTTCCATTTCCATTGCACAAGAGATTTTTTTCTTTTTATTAAAATTTTTATTAGGATACACCCATTATACAGGGGGGCATTCATAGTGACAATTCCAGTTAGGCTTGTGTTGTACATTGCTTAGATCACTCCCATCCTCTCTTCCCTTCAATGCTCTCCCTTCCCCACTTAAAGCAATTGCAAGAGGGTTCTTTAATCTATTTCATAATAAGTATATGAAGTTCAACAATCATATACCCTCATCTTGATCTCCTTCATTCACCCTCCCCCTCCCACTAGTACTCCCAACACACACACACACACACACTGTACTTATTTCGCAGTTTTGTCTTTCATTATTAATATTTAATTTGGTGTCCTGAGGGTTTTCTCTATGTTTCCACACTGTTCAACCCTTTCCATTGCTCTTGCTTACCTCTTTACTTCCCACCCCCCATTTTTCAACAGCTTTCAATACACATCCTTATATCCTCTACTTTTACAGGTGTTATGTTTTATAATATTACCAGTACTGTTTCATTCTCTTTTCCTTTCCCTCTGTCCCCAAGTTCCATAGAGTAGTTCCACTATTACTGATATGTTCTACATATGAGTTTATATATGGTTGTCTTGTGTATATGTTTATCATTTTGATCTATCTTCCACAAATGAGAGAAAACATGTCATTTATCTTTCTGAGCCTGGCTTACTTCACTTAACATAATGTCTTCCAGTTGCATCCATTCACCTTCAAGTCACATGTCATTATAATTTTGGCTGAGTGAAACCCTATTGTGTATATATACCATAATTTCTTGATCCATTCATCAGTTGTAGGGCACCTGGGTTTTTTCCAAAGCTTGGCTATTGTGAATAGTGCTGCAATGAGTACTGATGTACAGGTGTCTCTATTGTATCCTGACTTATATTCCTTCACATGGTAGTTCCATCTGTAGCTTTTTGAGGAATCTCATACTGCTTTCCATAGTGGTTGTACTAACTTGCATTCCCACTAGTAGTGTATAAATGTTCTTGTATCGTCAAATCCTCGCCAGCACTTGTTGTTGCTATTGTCCTTGAATATGGCCATTGTAACTGGGGAGAGATGAAATCTGAGTGTAGTTTTCATTTGCATCTCTTTTGTAACCAGGGAAGTTGAAAACTGCTTCATGTATTTACTGGTCATTTGTACCTCTTCCTTTGAAAATTCAGTTTAATTCATGTGCCCATTTCTTCATTGGGAGCTGATTCTTTGGGGTTTGAGTATTTTGAGTTCCCTATGGATTCTGGACATTAGTCCCTTAGCAGATGAATAACTGGCAAATATTTTCTCCCATTCTGTGGGTTGTCTCTTGAGTCCAGTGACTGTTTCTTTTGCTGTGCAGAAACTCTTTAGTTTAATGCAGTCTCATTTCTTCATTCCTTCTCTTAGATGCTGACCCAGTTAGCGATATTTCATCAAATGTAGGTCCTTCATATTCTTGGGAAACCATAACATCAGTGACAAGGCTTCAGAAAAATTATAAATCCTATTACATGACATGAGCACACACATTTCTATATGGTGAATAAATATTTACAAATATACACTTCTCTATATAAAGAAATAAAGTACTTAAAAAAGAAATAACCTACTAAAGAGCATGTTCTATAGTTAAATATTCAACTAATATTAGGACAGAGAACTGTGATTTCAGAAAAGAAGACTCATGATTCCCAGTAACCTTGACACTGTTCCTGGGGTCTTAGTCATTGCAGGTGAAGATGTATGAACAGAAAATTTTTCAATTATTTCTAGAATTTCAGATCTAGGATGTTTTTCAGAACACCCTCAAGAGGAACCAAGAGCTCCATTTCATATTTTGGGCAAAGACAAAACACTGCTGTTCAGGAAAGAGATGACTAAGACAATCTGAATATGTTGAAATTTTTAACTCTGGTATTGTCACCTGAGGAAGAAGGAAACAACATGATAGTGAGGACAGTCCTAAGACATGGCAGTTCAAGAATGTTATGACTGGGATTTTTGTTCCTTGTAGTCTCTGTTTTTATAGATCTCCTTTTATACTACCATTCAATGGCTCACTGAAATCAAATTCAAACCAATGATGTATCTCTGGAGACAAATTTTGGGAAACATTCACAAAACATTGACATTCATTTCATGTTCATTGAGGTGCAATGCCAACATCCTGAAGCTATTCCCACAACACCAAGGACAAGGATTAACTTGGACAAACATATTTCTTTCCAACAAGAAACATAAGTGATTTTTTGGCATTTTTTGTTTGCTTGGGTTTTTTTTTTGTCAGTTTTCATTGATTTTTATTTTACTTTGTTTTTTTCATTGTCGGTTTCCAATCATCCAATTTGTTCTTGCTTTACTGCTTCTCTCATTTATCTTTATTTCTTGTTTTTTCTTTTCTTTCTTTTTTTAACTTGGTTTCTAACCATTCAATTTTTTTCCTTTTTTTCTCTTTTCTCCCTCCTTATCCTACAAATCCCTCTCTATTTCCTTGTTATTAATAGAGAGAACTTTCTTATACTGTTATCTTCTACATCTACCACCCATTCTTTCTACCACCCTTTCTTTCTACCATCCTATTTCTCTCTCTTCTCCATGCCTTCTCCATCCATATACCTTTCAACCAGTGTTGAGTTCTCAGAGTTTTGCTCCTGTACAACCCTATTGCGGAGACAGATAAAGGTTCCAATCATTCCTTACTCATTCAAAATCTTGATTAATTGCCAAACTGTTTGACTTGTTACTGCAGTAGGTTCTCCACTCACCTGAGGAAGTACAAGGAAACAGACCAACAGATGTACAAATCATAGCACAGAAATTTAATTATGAGAAACCAAGGAGATATCTCACCTCCAAAGTCCCATCACAACTAAAAATGTGAATACAAAGATACTATATTGGCTGAAATGTCTGAAAGAGAATTGAGAAGCCTACTGTTAAAAACGATCAGTGAACTCAAAGAGGATTCAAATAAACAGATAAATTGAGGCTAACAATTTGTTGCTAGAAAGTCAGCAACATGGAAGAGAAATTCAGCAAAGAGATGGAAAATTATGAAAAA